ATATATATATATATATATATATATATATAATCATTTAGTTATTATATTTTTTATATCCTTTTATATTTTATGTGTTGTGTGTGTTTGTTTGTTCAGTTGTTTGTTTCATTGTTTAATCTGCATGTTTGTTGGTTTGGTTTCTTTGTTTTTTGTCACTGATTTTATTAATGTGCAAAATAATTTCATTATCCCTCATTTCCGACATCATCACCTTTTTTTATCTCCACTTCCTTTATCGTCAAATTTCCTATTTCCTTTTCGTTGTCATTTTCCGCTAGTCTTCTTTGACTGTGGAACTTGACTCACCCCCCCCCCCCCATAACTGGTACTTCACCCTACCCTCTTACCCTCTCCCCCCCCCCCTCCTCCTCTTCCCTTTCCCTAACTCCTCTTCTCTTCCTTAAAACTCTCTCACTCTCGTTCCCTCTCCTCTCCTTCTTCTTCCTTCTCCCTTCCTTTTCCCCTCCCCCTTCCTCTACCCCTCCCCTCCCCTCCCCTTTCCCAACGTTAAACCCCCCTCCCCTACTTCAACCAACCCCCTCCCCCACCATCACCCTTCCCCCCCCCCTGCCCTCTTCCCTCACCCTACCCTTTCCTCCTACTCTACCCCTTCCCCCCTCCTCCCCCCATCCCTTTCCCCCCACCCTTACCCCCCTCCCCCACCCCTTTCCTTTCCCCCCACCCTTACCCCCCTCCTCCCTCCCCCCTACCCTTCCCCCCCACCCTTCCCCCCCTCCTCCCCCCACCCCTTTCCTTTCCCCCCCTCCTCCTCCCCCCTCCCCCACCAAACCCCTTACCCCCCCTCCCCCCTCACCACACTTTCCAGCCCGCACGTGCCCCAATACCTGGACGGCGCCGAGATCGTCAGCAACTGCCTCGGCGCCTACGAGGAGTTTCGGCGCCCAGAGTCAGCCGTCAGCCTCGTCAGCAGCGCCACAGCCAAGAGTGGAGGCTGCTATCTCTATGCTAATCAGAGAGGGTGTGATGGTGAGTGGGGTGGTGAGTGGGATGGGGAGTGGGGTGGGGAGTGGGGTGGGGAGTGGGGTGAGGAGTGGGGTGGGGAGTGGGGTGGGGAGTGGGATGGGGAGGTGGTGGTGAGTGACTGGGATGGTGAGTGGGTTGGGGAGGTGATGGTGAGTGGGATGGGGAGTGGGATGGGGAATGGGATAGTGAGGTGATGGTGAGTGGGATGGGGAGTGGGATGGGGAGGTGGTGGTGAGTGACTGGGATGGTGAGTGGGATGGGGAGTTGATGGTGAGTGGGATGGGGAGGTGATGGTGAGTGTGATGAGGAGTGGGATGGGGAGGTGGTGAGTGAGTGACTGGGATGGTGAGGTGGGATGGTGAGTGGGGTGGGGAGGTGATGGTGAGTGGGATAGGGAGGTGGTGGTGAATGGGATGGTGAGTGGGATGGTGAGTTGGGTGGTGAGTGGGATGGGGAGGTGATGGTGAGTGGGATGGTGAGGTGGTGGTGAGTGGGATGGTGAGGTGATGGTGAGTGGGATGGTGAGTGGGATAATGACGTGATGGAGAGTGGGAAAGGTGATAGAAAATAGAGCTGAATGGGGGGTAGGGGGTGAGTGGATGACGAGAGTGGATGAATGAACGTGGAAAATAGATGTATAATTGAGAGTGGATGATTTGTACGCAGATATTGGTACAATTGAGTATGAGAAACTTATATGTAGAAATTGATATAAATGAATAACTTCTAAATGAATAACTTCTAAATGAATAACTTCTAAATGAATAACTTCTAAATGAATAACTTCTAAATGAATAACTCCTAAATGAATAACTTCTAAATGAATAACTTCTAAATGAATAACTTCTAAATGAATAACTTTTTCTAAATGAATAACTTCTAAACGAATAACTTCTAAATGAATAACTTCTAAATGAATAACTTCTAAATGAATAACTTCTAAATGAATAACTTCTAAATGAATAACTTCTAAATGAATAACTTCTAAATGAATAACTTCTAAATGAATAACTTCTATGTCGAAATTGATAGAAGTAAAAAAAAAAGTATAATTTACATAGGAAATGGATGTATAACTTTGAACGAATAAGGGAGGGAGGGAGGGGGGGGAAGGGGGGGTAAGGGAGAAGAATTTTGTGAACGTGGGTATAAGTGGGGTGGGGGGGGGGTAAAAATAAGGGGTGGGGAAGTAGAGACTAGGTGAGGGGGGGGGGGATATTACGGGTGGGGGGGGGGGTGAGGGAGTGGGTGAGGGAGAAGGGTAGTGTGAAAGTGTGTATAAGGAAGGAGGGAGATGATGAGGAGGAAGGACAGAGTGAGGGAGAGAGTAAAGGAGGGAGGGAGAGAATAAGGGAGAAGGAGAGTGTAAGTGTGAAAGTGGGAATAAGGGAGAGGGTGAGAAAGTGGGTGAGGGAGGAGGGTGAGGGAGGAGGGTGAGGGAGGAGGGTGAGGGAGGAGGGTGAGGGAGGAGGGTGAGGGAGGAGGGTGAGGGAGGAGGGTGAGGGAGGAGGGTGAGGGAGGAAGGTGAGAGAGGAGGGTGAGGGAGGAGGGTGAGGGAGGAGGGTGAGGGAGGAGGGTGAGGGAGGAGGGTGAGGGAGGAGGGTGAGGGAGGAAGGTGAGAGAGGAGGGTGAGGGAGGAGGGTGAGGGAGGAGGGTGAGGGAGGAGGGTGAGAGAGCAGAACGGTGTGAGGGTGGGAGTAAGAGAGGGAGGGAGGGGGGGGGGAGTGAGCATTTAAGTAAATTATTGAGACATTATTGTTTATTAGCCTAATCTATTGCTCTGTCTATTTATTTTTTTCACAATTCCTCTTTATCTCTCTCTCTCTCTCTCTCTTTCTCTCTCTCTCTCTCTCTCTCTCTCTCTCTCTCTCTCTCTCTCTCTTTCTCTTTCTCTCTCTCTCTCTCTCTCTCTCTCTCTCTCTCTCTCTCTCTCTCATTATCTATCTATCTATCTATTTATCAATTAACAAAAAATCTCGGTTTTATTTACTTACATTTTTTTTCCTCCTTAACTCCCCTTTCTTATTTTTCTAAATATCTATCTACCTACTTTTTCTTAATTCCTTCTTCTTCCTTCGTTTCGAATCCCCATTTATTATTTATCCAAATATCTATATATTTTTTCCAGTTCCTCTTTCTCATTTCTTCTTTTCTCACTTTATCTGTCTACTCTTCTTGATTTCCCCTTCCTTATTCCCTCTTTTCTCACTCTATCTATCCATTCTTCTTAATTCCCCTTTCTTATTCCTTTTTTTCTCATTCCCAGCTAGTTCTCCTTTCTTATTTCTTTTCTCACTTTATATATTCTTCTTTATTCCCTTTTCTTATATCCTCGTTTCGCATTCTTTGTATTTCTTTTAATTCCCCTTTCTTCTGTCTCCGTTTCTCATTCTATCTATCTATTCTTAATTTCCCCTTTCTTATTACTTCTTTTCTCTTCTTGTCTATGTATTCTTCTTAATTCCTCTTTCTTATTCATCTTCTTTCACTCTATCCATTCCCATTATCTTTCTTATACTTTTCTCTCTCACTCTATCTATCTATTTTTCTTAATTCTCCTTCCTTATTCATCTTCTCTCACTCTGTCTATCTATCTTTCTTAATTCCCCTTCCTTATTCCTTCTTCTCTCATTCTGCCCATTCCCCTTACCTCTTTCTTATCCCTTCCTCTTTCTTATCCCTTCCTCTTTCTCATCCCTTCCTATTTCACTCTATCTATCTGTTTTTCTTAACTCCCCTTCCTTATTCATTTTCTCCCATTCCCCTTATTTCTTACTCATCCCTTCCTCTCTCTCATCACTTCCTCTCTCACTCTATCTATTTATTCTTCTTAATTCCCCTTTCTTATTCATCTTCTCTCTTTCTGTCCATTCCACTTTTCGCTTTCATATCCCTTCCTCTCTTCTCTCTTATCCCTTCCTCTTTCTCATCCCTTCCTCTTTCTCATCCCTTCCTCTCTCTCATCCTTTCCTCTCCCTCATCCCTTCCTCTCTCATCCCTTCCTCTCTCATCTCTTCCTCTCTCATCCCTTCCTCTCTCTCATCCCTTCCTCTCTCTCATCCCTTCCTCTCTCTCATCCCTTCCTCTTTCTCATCCCTTCCTCTCTCTCATCCCTTCCTCTTTCTCATCCTTTCCTCTCTCTCATCCCTTCCTCTCCCTCATCCCTTCCTCTCTCTCATCCCTTCCTCTCTCATCCCTTCCTCTCTCTCATCCCTTCCTCTCTCTCATCCCTTCCTCTCTCATCCCTTCCTCTCTCTCATCCCTTCCTCTCTCTCATCCCTTCCTCTCTCTCATCCCTTCCTCTCTCTCATCCCTTCCTCTCTCTCATCCCTTCCTCTTTCTCATCCCTTCCTCTCTCTCATCCCTTCCTCTTTCTCATCCTTTCCTCTCTCTCATCCCTTCCTCTCCCTCATCCCTTCCTCTCTCTCATCCCTTCCTCTTTCTCATCCTTTCCTCTCCCTCATCCCTTCCTCTCTCATCCCCAGGAGGTCCCGGATACTACCCAGGAGAAGCCTACATAGCCCTGAACGGCGCCATCGTGGGTCGAGCTGCCCCTTACTCCCTGCAGGAGGTGGAGGTCGTGGTGGCCAAGGTCGACCTCGAGAGCGTCAGGAGGCACAAGGCCCTTATTAGGAGTCGCTGCACACACGCGGCCAGGAGCGAGGTTTATCCGAGGATTCAGGTCCGTTTTGTACGGGGTTTGTGTGTGTGTGTGTGTGTGTGTGTGAGAGAGAGAGAGAGAGAGAGAGAGAGAGAGAGAGAGAGAGAGAGAGAGAGAAGGAGAGAGAGAGAGAGAGAGAGAGAGAGAGAGAGAGAGAGAGAGAGAGAGAGAGAGAGAGAGAGAGAGAGAGAGAGAGAGAGAGAGAGAGAGAGAGAGAGAGAGAGAGAGAGAGAGAGAGGAGAGAGAGAGAGAGAGAGAGAGAGAGAGAGAGAGAGAGGAGAGAGAGAGAGAGAGAGAGAGAGAGAGAGAGAGAGAGAGAGAGAGAGAGAGAGAGAGAGAGAGAGGAGAGAGAGAG